TCCTTAGCAGTGTATATTAGGTCTGTCAAAACTGTTCCATGGGCAAAGATATCCGTTTAGATGCCAATACGATTTTATCCATCCCCTTCAACACCTCCTGCTGCCTCAAATGGGAAATTTTGTAGAAAGGTTGAACTTAAAATCACCTTCCATGTAAAAATTAATTCATTATTACTCAATCTTATTAACAAGTATTACACAAGTTTCCATAGTGCAAAAATGAGCAAGGCTGTGTTTGTGCAGGTGACGATGGAAAAGGTTAAGTCTTTTCATTTTCAACAAGCCTTTGGGTGTTAGTTTTTAACAAGAAATGACATTTTCGTGGTGGTATACTAATTTTAATATTTGTTTTAGAGTAAGATTTTAAATGATTTTCATTCTGTTATTGTTTCAGTATGTTTTTATGGCTTGTATGGCTGTTAAAGCTACCTTGGGTTTTGATTCTAGAGGAAAGTAAGAAATAATAACAATAATGTTGTTGATGGTGATTATGTTTATGGTTCCAAGATTTATTTATTTACTTACTTACTTCATTTTTACCCCCACCTTTCTCACCCCACAGGGGACTCAAAGCGACTTACAAACTTCGAGCAAAATTCAATGCCGCATGGACATAACAATAAAACATATTCCATCAAATTATAAAATAGTTAAAACATATGAACAATTAAATCATAGTTATTCATAGTCATTTTCCAAAATCCATAGTCATTACTAAGGCTGTTGAAGTCTAATTCCATAATATCCTATTCGCCAAACAGCTGCGTACAAAGCCAGGTCTTAAGCTTTTTTCTAAAGACCAGAAGGGATGGGGCCTGCCTGATGTTACTGAAGAGGGAGTTCTATTGCTGAGGGGCCACCACTGAGAAGGCCCCATCTCTCGTCCTCACCAATCATGCTTGAGAAGAAGGTGGGACTGAGAGCAGGGCTTCCCTAGATGATCTTAAAGCTCTTAAAGGGAGATGTATTCGGACAGGTAAGTTGCTATCAAAATCTATTATTTGAATTTATGTATGAAGAACCATTGGATATGGAGGGCTAACTATATGCATTGTTATAGTAATGTTCTGCCTTTCTGGAAGTTGCATCAAGTCCCACTCTGGACAAAGGAGGAATCTAAATAAAATAATTGGTGGATGGAAAAGAAATTCTTTAAAATATATATTAGAACATTAAAAATACAATTGTATAGCCAGCCTCCCTATCCACAGATTCTGCATGGACAGATTCAACCATCCATGGATTAAATCTATCTATCTATCTATCTATCTATCTATCTATCTATCTATCTATCTATCCAATCCAAAAAGCAAATATTGATGTTTGCAATTGAAGATAATGGGACTTGAGCACCCACAGATTATGTTATCCACTGGTTCACAAAACCAGTGGGTGAAAACCACAGTAGATATCAAGGATCTATTGTAGATTTGATGAAACAAAAACTATTTCTAATAGCCAATATAGCAAGGGGATGTTAAATGGAATATTTCCCAGGGATGGTCCATCAACTTGTCATATGAGTTTCCTCACCTCAAACACAAGTCTCCATTCCCATATAGATGGGCTCGGATTCTTTGGTGAAATGTTTGCAGATATTATGACATGGAGATGAAAGCCAAAAGAAAATGACTTGTGACTGTATTCATGAATGCGTAGCTCAGACTTGATTTATAATATCAGGGATATGAATAGTTTTAGCCAGGCAGTAATAATGTTGAACTGTCAGCATAATCTACTTCATTCACAATTTGATTTCAATGAATGGATTTCTATTCCAAACTCATTTTCAGGGATGCACAATCCATTAATTAAAATGAGCTCTGAAGGCAAGGCAGAATGTTTACTGTGAACCTAAGTGCACTCTGAACATAAATCAAACAAACCTACTTCATTCCAAGCAAATGTCTTTTTCAAGCTTCCAAATCTAAGCCATTTGGACTCTGATACTTTCACCACAATTATTGAAATATCTGAGTAAGGCTATTATGATGATGTCCATTTTTATATGCAAAATCAAACATACACATTTCCATTTAATATACAATTAATTAAAAGTGCTTATTATATTGCTTGTTCTTATTGGAGGAACACAGAAAAAGCAGAAACCTTCCCTAACCACAAATAATGTGAACTTCAAGGAAGGGAACACTTCCCATATTCCCTTCAAAGAGAGAGAGAGAAAAAAAATCTCAGTACTTTTCCTGTTGCTCAGACAGGAAATACCCCAAATTCTTTACATTACCAGAAAGCTGGTATCACTCATAGCATCAAAGAGAATGAAGGGGAGGCCCCAGTCCAAATCTTAAAACTATGATAACTTTGCTCAGTGGTGTTCCTTTAAGATGCTCCCAACACCCCAAACCAACTTTCCTGAAAGGAACTGTTTGTCTGGGGTCTTATAAGAAATCACAAAATTTCACTTTCATCTATGAGGGAGTTGACCATGAAGAGCTCCAAATATGATTTCTCCAGAAATCATGTCGGGGCATTTTGGAGCAAATTTTAATTTGGAATCCCTGGACACCACATAAACAGCCCTTGGGGGCTGTCTGTAACCTATAGGTTGCACTGTGCCCAGCCCAATCTAGTTGTTAATTCCAGCTAAAATAAACTCATTGAATAAATAGGATTTTCCGAAGTGTTCTTGTTATGTATAATCAAGCTGATTCCTGCGTATGGCAATAATATCTTAGTGTTTTCTTGGCCAAATTTATGTCAAAGAGATTTGCCATTGCCTTGCTCTTAGTCCATGTGTGATTCATTTAATGTTTCCATGGCTGAGCAGGGATTTGAGTCCTGGTCTCCTGAAGTCCTAGCCCAACTCAGTTGTGAATTTGTAACTGAGTCAATGGGTCTATTATAATTGAGATGAATCATTGGAATTTAAGCCTCTGGATCCTACATATATTTAAATATTATAACTTATCATATGATAAATGTCTTTCGGTCCTAGTGTAAACTGCTGACATAAAGCATTTCAGCCCACACTTCTTTTTAAGAACTAGGATTTATATCTGCTGGGAAGGACAACTTTGGAGTACATTTTCATTAAAAAACATAATAAACAAACAACATTGGAATGAGGCTGGATGAGGAAAACATAGCTACTAAAGTTTTAGAGTTAATTCTCCAATAAAAACCTGAAATTGACACTGTCAGAGAAAAGAGAAAGGCCCCTGGAGATTATCTCTTAGCAAAGTCAATAAAATTACATTTCTTCTCAACTTTTTCTTTGTTCCAACCTGTCCTGAAGCCTCTCTGATTTTTTGCAATCTCTTCTGGAATGGAGTCTATATCTGTGATACTACAATTTTCCTGTTATGCACACTAAGTTTTTTTTTAAAGGCTTATTGCATGATCTGCCACAACAAGGAGGTGGGCAGAGAACAGAAGCAAAGAAAGGCTGCCATGAAGCACTGTTTAAGTGTAGTAAAAGTTTGCCTGCCATTCTTTCCTCCAGCTGAGTGTCCAGTTCAATAGCAGGGAACTGGCACTTCGGCTGTAGGGAGGGACTCAGAGTCTTATTGCCATGGGATGCATCACAGTGACCTTCTCTTTACCTATGGGAAATGTCAGCCTTGTGACAATGCAACCTTTGTCATTATAATTTGTCTTTGGAGCCTTCTCCGAAGTGTAACAACAATTATTAAAACATGTCACTGATTTACATCAGAAGTAGGAATTTTGTCTCTTCTGGTGTGTTGACCTGCAATTCTGACCTTCAATTCTGATGACTTGCAATTCCCAGCATTCACTAACATGGCTTTGCTGGCTAGGACTCCTAAGGACATGGAGGATAATACCAGCATCAAGAGAGTCCCATTACGAGAAACAGGGATGGAATCAAGGAAATCAGTGAGAATCTGACCATTCAGTTAGATGGTGACACAGTCCAACCCTGATTCTGCATAAGGATTCAGCAGTCAACAGTTGATGACAAACATCTCCTTTTGGAAGAGTATTTCATGGTTAACTAATTTTCAACTGAGATATTAAAGAAGACCTTTATGTTATATAAAACATATATTCTCCACAGAGGCGGCCCTAGGTAATTTTCAAAGGTAAGCAAACAGTATTTTGGCGCCCCCCCCCCCAACCAATCACTGATATATATTTTCTGTTCGTCGTGGGAGTTCTGTGTCCCATATTTGGTTCAATTCCATCATTGGTGGAGTTCAGAATGCTCTTTGATTGTAGGTGAACTATACATCCCAGTAACTACACTTGCCGCACTTGCTCCCTTGCCTGGCCCGCTTTGGGTCCGGAGGCGTGCCTGAAGACCCCGGCATGTGCACCAAAAGTCACCTCTTCTCCTGACTTTCTCCTCAGCCATTGGGACCAAGAGAGAGAGAGAGAGAGAGAGAGGTGGAGATGCCCACCTTTCCTGAAGGTAGGCGCAAAAACAAAGGAGGGAGCGGAGGTGGGAGATACCTCCAGCCGGAGGGGTTCTCTCTCTCTCTTGGTCCCAATGGCTGAAGAGAAAGTCAGGAGAAGAGGCGAGTTTTGGTGCACATGCTGGGGTCTTCAGACATGCCTCCGGACCCGAAGCGGGCCAGACACGGCAGCTCCGCCCCTTGGCCCACCCGCAGATTGGGGAGAGGAGAGGAGGCGGGTGGAGCGCCGGGGGATCGGGAAAGGGAGCCGGTCATGGGGAAGGGATCGAACGCAGAGAACGATTGAGCGCCGGCTCTGCTCGCGCACCCGGTGGCCAGGTGGAGCAGAAACGAGAGGGGCTAGGTGAGGCTCAAGGGCCCGGCCCCTTTGGGAAGAGGATCGCCCGGCAGCGAGGCAAGAAAGCCGAGGCTCCCCCCGGACTGCTAGGGCTGTTGTGAGCTGAGGGGGCGCTCCTCAAGTGGCGGTCGAGGGGCATTTACAGAGGCGCCTCTGCGCCCCTGGCAAAAAAAGTGTTCTGCGACCGCTTACTTCGCGTAATGGACGAGCCGCCCCTGATTCTCCACCTAGTCTCCCAAATAAAATAATGAGAATTTTCATTTTACCTGCTCTCAGAAGCAGTTTCATTTTCCAGCTGTCGGATGAGAAGCTTTGCTATGGCAGTGAAACTGTTGCTCATGCGATAAATGTCTCTGCTCTGGATGCCCAAGATATTGGCAAATGTATCTGTGATGTGCTTAATCTCCAACAAAAGAATATGGTGGAATGAATGTTCCATGTTGGCCAGTTGATTAACCAAGTAGATCAGGCAGATTCGGGCTCTTTCCTGTTCATAATGACAAGATGGAGATGTTTAAGACAGCATGGCATTGATTAAAAAGTGGACAAAATTGTGACAACACTGTCAAGGAGAAATCCAGAATTCATCTGCTTGTTGATTCCAAGCACTTAACATGGAATACTGTTAAGGCCTTGTGCAAAATAACCAATGATATTTTGCAAAGATTTAGCAAAAATCAATGACCAAGTAATACAAATTAAATGTTCATACAATCAGGCAGAGGGAGGTGGACTCCATTTGAATCTCCTAGTATCTAGATGTTTGTTTGATGCTGCTTCTGTAAATGCATATGACCATTGGTCGGAGCATTAATAAATATTGACTGATTGATTGATCCTAGTATCTTGTCTATAGTACAGGTGGCAAAAAAGGATGATAGTTTACAGTAGTTGGCATACATGCAGTTATAATCCAGGTTTGCAAGGACATAGAGGCTCCCTTCACCTCTTCAACAGCATGACCCTGCAAAATAAATGTAGCTTTCCTTGACACTATTCTATTCTTTAGAACAGCAACCCCCATCTGTTAAAAATGTAAGGGATTATGGCCTCAGCACCAGCAGAGCATTTCTTTAAGATCACGTCTGCAAACAATTGCCTCTTTAAATCAATAGGCTTGCAATGTCCCCCTGGCTAATGGAAAAACAGTCTGGTTAGTGACAAAGAACTCCTAAAAAATCAGCTGAACATAATTTTTGCATGAAAAATAATATTTCTATGCAAGCATGTTGTTTCCTCTGAAGCAAATAATATTATCTGTACAGAAAATTTTGTGTGCTATACAAATCACCAATGTGTGAATTTTGCACAGAATAAATCCTGAATTGCACAATGATTTCAAAAACCGTACTGCTTTTTAGGATTTCTCACAATGAGAATAATATTGTTAAAGTTATCAATGCTTTTTTTTGAGAAGGAACATAATGATGAATGAGATTTCTAGTAGAAAAATATCAAAACAAATCTCAGTATGTTAAGACAGATTAATTTCAAGGAGTTTCAAAAGGTACCACAAATTGTCAATCTAATAGGAATCAGTGACTTGTTGTGATGAACTCTTAGTCTGGTTCCTTTCTGAAACAGATCAACAAGACAGTTGGTGCTATCTGCTTTTCAGTGACAGCTTGTAGTTGCCTTATCCCATTGAGATAACAATTATCAGACTTTCTTACAACTTCCTGGTACTCATGATAGTATTTCAGTAATGGGTATTCTTATTTTAGAGCTAGGTTCTACATATGGATCTGTCTATCACCTGCTAGTGAAAGAGGATATTTAGAAAATGGCTTCTTCCAGCTCTGCAATTTGTCCTCATACTCTGTGGGGATTTCCATATATAGACACCTTGTTGGTAGTGATCATGTTTGGAAACAGATTCAAAAAAATCTGACTAGATACTTTTTGTGGGTAAAATGGACAATAATTATGAACCAGTTCAGATTGGAAGAGGACTTTACTGTCAGTTCTCTGGTTATATGTGACTTAATGTGGAAGTTGGAATACAGCAAATGTATGTGTGTGCTTGACTTGCATATGTGTGTACTCATATACTTGGGAATCCCCATTGAAGACATGTTCAGAAAAATAGAAATGCATGTCCAGAATGACTTCTGGTATCTGTGATATGATTTGCCTTATGCCTTCATTCACAATGAGTCTGGATGGTAACTTGAAAAGACAATGATCTAATGCCTGTTGTCACTGAATGGTGGTATGGGAGAACATAGCAGGACATAACATAGCTGAGAGACCTCAACATTTGCAGGGCCACAGACTCCCCACTGCTAATGTAAAGGCAGCAGAATAGTTGCTATTTATTGATTTAAAACTGCAATAGCAACAAGATATTTGCAGTCAAGGCTTTTATCATGACATTCTCTTGCTTCTTTCACTGAATTTTATGGGAGTTTCACAAACTGTCTTCTGTTTTTTTCCATGGCTTCTTGCATCGTTTTCCTGTCTATGAGAATAAGATGGATTGCTTGCAGAGTGACTTCTAATTGCTTGTGCATGGAGCCCTCCATTTGGAAATAGCTATATCAATCTTCTGAATTGAGGCTTCACAAGAGGAAGTCATTGCATTTAAAATGCAGCTTATAAATTTGGAAAGTTGTGTGTTTCCATTCCATCTCTCCCCCTCCTATATCTTTCCTGTTTCTTTTGGGCCAGACAAATCAAGACATAAACAAGAGCTTCATTAACATTTAAAGACCAAATTTGTTTCCAAACAACATTTGTAGTAGAAATAATTGCTAAGAGAAGTTTTCCATCCATGCTTTCTTGCTTTGATCCCGCTGGAAAGAATCCACAAGTGCTACATTTTGCTACTTGTCTACAGCTTGCTCCAAGGACACTAAATTATATAAGTGTAGGATATGTCCTTAATATCTAAAAAGAAAAGTAAAAAGAAAGCAGCTATTCAGCTTGATAGCAATTATATTTAGCTGGCCTAAAATCAAATTTGATGTCTGAAAGCAAGGAGGAGATGATGAGCCTTCTAACCAAGGTGAAAGAAGAAAGTGCAAAAGCTGAGTTGCAGTTAAACATAAAAAAACAAGATTATGGCAACCAGATTGATTGATAACTAGCAAATAGAGGGAGAAAACGTGGAGGCAGTGGCAGACTTTGCATTTCTAGGAACGAAGATTACTGTAGACACAGACTTCAGACAGGATATCAGAAGATGTTTACTTCTTGGGAGGGGAGTAATGACCAATCTCTATAAAATAGTGAAGAGTAGAGACATCACACTGGCAACAAAGGTCTGCATACTTAAAGCAATTGTATCCCCTGTAGTAACCTATGGATGTGAGAGCTGGGCCATAAGGAAGGTTGAGCGAAAGAAGATAGACGCTTTTGAACTGTAGTGTTGGAGGAAAATTCTGAAACTGCCTTGGACCATGAGAAGACCAAACCAGTCCATACTCCAGGAAATAATGCCTGACTGCTCCCTGGAGGGAAGGATATTAGAGGCAAAGATGAAGTACTTTGGCCACATAATGGGAAGACAGGAAAGCTTAGAGAAGATAATGATGCTGGGGAAAATGGAAGGAAAAGGGAAGAGGGGCCGACCAAGGGCAATATGGATGGATGGTATCTTTGAAGTGACCTTGAAGGAGCTGGGGGTGGCCACAGCTGACAGGAAGCTCTGGCATGGGCTGGTCCATGAGGTCACAAAGAGTCAGAAGTGACTGAACAAATAAAAACAAAATCAAAAATCTCTGGGTAAAGCTGAAGTTTGCATCACTTTGGGTTACAACCATTTTCTAAGTTTGAATGGAAATAAGTTTATCTGCTTTATGGGAAGCAGATTTTACATTTTATGACATACAATTACATTTATTGACGGAAGAATTACGTAAAAAACAAAGTACTAAAACACTAACTAAAATACTTTATTTAGTTACATCAGAAAATATAAGGAAAGAGAGCTGATTTTACTTTGGAAAAAAAGTCAATAGGCCCAGCATTGTGTCAAGATTCCTGCAATAGAGAGACCTAGAAAAATCAATGAAAATGATGCCATTTAGCTTAGGAACAGATATTGAGATAAAATAAACCCAACAGATATTTCCCTCCTCTGTATTTGCCAGCTTGCTGGCCTTTTCAAAAGGTGAGTGCAAGGCTAACATCACAACAGAAGCAACAAAACATAAAGGAGATAAACTCTGTTTGCCATGTACCATGAATCTTTGTGAGTCTCAAATAATTCCTAGTGCACCTTTCCAGACATGCGGTCCAGCTGCTTAGAACAGCCAAATGTCTTGGATCAGGCTTTAGTCACATTTACAGAAAGCAGGAAAAGAATCACATTATAGTTTAACACAAACATTTATTTACTGGACATGACAAAGATCCAACTAGTCACATGTAGGTTTCACTAGAATCCACAGAAATGCAGCTGGTCATTAATTTTCTGTATAACACTATTCTGACTCTGAAGACAGGGTTTTCAGCTTGGGTGGCTGTGCCTATGCTATTTCATGTGAAAAGATCATAGCAGTAAAATTCCATTTGAACTGCCATTATTCCAGCCTGTAATCCTGAGATTTGCTATTTAGGGAAGGGTACTTGAATTTTTTTTAAGTGTGACCTACAAACTCGATGGAATGTGATGCAACATAGCAATGTAATCATAGTTATATCATTGCCCTTTGCCTTTTCTCAGGTTCAGATAAACTCTGTCCTAAGAAGATCGATTTGGCTACAGTGACCCAAGCCTGAATTACTGTAATGTTGCTGCATGTGTGAGTGCCCTTTATGTATTTTTGGAAGCAACAACCTGTGGAAAATGTAATGGCCAGAGTATTATCTGTGGCCAAAACCAGTACAAATACATCTTCAGCACCTTGGAGAACTTCTTTACAATTCAGACTAAAAAGCAGAATGGGTTCATTTTCCCACTCACATGAATACCACCTGTCATCACTGATAGCAGAAGTAGTGAACAGTAAAAAGAAACTGTGCAAGTAATCTAATAAATTACTAATGAAACTTGTTCCTACAAAACACGAGAATTCGGGGGTATGGTAGACACATCTGAGGCTGGATCTACCTTGCCATACAATCCAGTTTCAGAAAGCAAATTAACTACTTTGAGCTGGATTATAGACGACTACGCTGTCATATAATCCAGCTCAATGCAGTTAATATGCATTCAAAAACTGGATTACATGGCAGTGTAGATGAGGCCCTAGATAGCCAATTAGCACAATCATTTTCTTGTTTCTAATATTTACAAACACACTGATCTTCGGAAAACAGTAAGTCTATATTGGAACCAGGACTTTCAAATCTAGAACTGAATAGATCTGATATGGATGAACAATAAAAATCCATGGTATCAAAGATCTCAATAAAGCTGTAAAATCTTCCTGAATAAGTTTAATTGTCTTGAACCTGTTAAAATCATTATTTTCATCAAGCACAATGTTAGATGAACAAAACATTGTTTGCTTTTTGTGCCTTCAAGTTCTTGCCAACTTA